ACCAAGATCTTCAATGTAAGTCCTTCCTGAAGACACCTCACCTAACCAGAACTAAGCAGAACAAAAGTTTAATAGGCACCTTGGGCTATACATTCCCTGGTCCCAGTATGGGAGACATGTTTAAACTTGATTGACTAAAACTCGGTTGCTGGTTTAAGGAATGCTGAGGCAAGAGACCGAGTCAGAGGTGGTATGAGCAACATCTGAACAATGGTTAAGGGTTCATCACAACGTGCAGCCCATTGGAGCCCAGACCACAAATGCTGTCATACTTTTCCTGGGATGACTGGTGGATATCCTCCCCACAATGTTTATGAATACTCCAAACAATCCCCTTAAGTATGTTTCATGTGCCCTTGGGATTTCCTGTTTTAGAAAACAGATCAAATCAAGGCACCAGTAAAAGACTACAGTAAGATCTGAAAGTCATGCTAAGCTGAAGCTATTCACAACAGGTAAAATACAAAACACTGAGGCTGACTTAACAGTGCAAGAAAATGTGAGTTCATAGGCCACCTGAGAAGAAATAATGCGGTATCCCTTCCAGTTTATCTTTTATATGCATAATAATTTCAAGCCGGCTCCTAGGTATCTGGTTACTTCTTAAAACTTCATGTTTTTTCCTGGTTATTAATCAGTTCCTTGAGACATTCCAAACCAGATAACCCCTTGCCACTGAAAAAGGTAATTCATGTAAATTAGAACTGTTTAAATAACAGGATTTTCCCTGTCAGTTATGGCTTGGGACTCTCTTGATTTACACGACTAAAAGAATGTTTTGAAGAGGCTGGACTAAGGGTATAAGAAAGCAGTAAGCAGAAAACAGTATGTGCTTCAAGAGGGAAAATCTCTCTGACACCATCTGCTGTTGTTCTCAAGAAGCTGAGATAAACAGATCATCTCTTTTTGTCGCCTGTTTAACCTTCAGCAATCGTGCTAGGAACTTTGCCTGTCAACAAAACACCTGAGTGCCATGGATTGGTGAGATCCCAGCTCTCGCTCTCTCTCTCTCTCTCTCTCTCTAGGCATAGCTTTCTGAACTTGAATTGTATTAGTTAAGCTTGAGGTAGGTTTCCCCAAATACTCAACTGAACCAGGGTAATGTTGTAATTGTTTTTGTTTGTTTTTCCTTGCATGGCTGTTACTACAAGTACCATCATAAATTTCATATACTTAGCAATAAATAATTTTTATAGTCAAACTGGTGGTAACCAGGTGTCTTTTTCCTTTTCTACTTCCCCTTCCCCACTTGGTCTGCACCAATGCTTCTTTTACCTAGTCAAAGATCCCTGTAAAACTCCAAAAACCTGTGGGGTCTGCTCATCAAGGGAGTTACTACCAGGACAATTGTGACAAGGGCACACAGCTGTGGAAGCTGCCACCCCCTTCCCTGCACAAGTGCCCCGCAGACAAGCTGCTCACGGCTCCATCCCATGTCCCACTTGGAGCGAGCTGAGTTCACGTGCATGCACATACATGCTCAGCCCCCTGAATAATTTTTTATTCCTCCACCTATGCTTACAGGTCAATGTTGTGAGTGTTTTTGGCACTGCCCAGAAATGTTGCCGACCTCTGGTTTAGGCATAGTAAATAGTACATACAAAAAGGTTTTAAACAAAACATTTTCTACTCTACAACTCTTCAACGCAATGTTCAATTCTACAGTCAGAAGACCAGGCAGATATGCACCTTTACAGACTAACTAATTAATATGTGTATATATAGAGAGAGCGCACGCTTTTGTGAACCCAGGTTCACTTTGGGAAAAATTGGTGCATTATGTAGATTCATAGATGCTAGGGTTGGAAGGGACCTCAATAGATCATCGAGTCCGAACCCCTGCATAAGCAGAAAAGAGTGCTGGGTCTAGATGACCCCAGCTAGATACTCATCTAACCTCCTCTAGAAGACCCCCAGGGTAGGGGAGAGCACCACCTCCCTTGGGAGCCCGTTCCAGACCTTGGCCACTCGAACTGTGAAGAAGTTCTTCCTCATGTCCAATCTAAATCTGCTCTCTGCTAGCTTGTGGCCATTATTTCTTGTAACCCCCGGGGGCGCCTTGGTGAATAAATACTCACCTATTCCCTTCTGTGCCCCCGTGATGAACTTATAGGCAGCCACGAGGTCGCCTCTCAACCGTCTGACCAGCGCCCGATAGAGGGGAAGTATCACCTCCTTGGACTTATTTGTCATGCATCTGCTGATGCACGATAAAATGCCATTGGCTTTTCTGATGGCTTTGTCACACTGCCGACTCATGTTCATCTTGGAGTCCACTAGGACTCCAAGATCCCTTTCCACTTCCATGCCACCCAGCAGGTCATTTCCTAGGCTGTAGGTGTGCTGGACATTTTTCCTCCCTAGGTGCAGCACTTTGCATTTCTCCTTGTTGAATTGCATTCTGTTGTTTTCTGCCCATTTGTCCAACCTGTCCAGGTCTGCTTGCAGCTGTTCCCTGCCCTTCGGCGTGTCCACTTCTCCCCATAGCTTTGTGTCATCTGCTTGGACAGAGTACATTTCACTCCCTCGTCCAAGTCCCTGATGAAGACATTAAAGAGTATTGGTCCAAGGACTGAGCCCTGCGGGACCCCACTGCCCACACCCTTCCAGGTCGAAACCGACCCATCTACCACGACTCTCTGGGTGCGACCCTCCAGCCAATTCGCCACCCACCGGACTGTGTAGTCATCCAAGTCACAGCCTCTTAACTTGTTCACCAGTATGGGGTGGGATACCGTATCGAAGGCCTTCCTGAAGTCTAAGTATACGACATCCACCCCTCCTCCTGTGTCCAGGCGTTTCGTAACCTGGTCATAAAAAGTGACTAGATTGGTCAGGCACGATCTGCCTGCCACGAAGGCTTAATGTAGGCCTTAAGTTGTTAGTGGCAATATGATATAGAAGTTGTTTGCATTTGCTTGAATGGAGTTTGGGTAAGTGAAGAAGAAGCAAAGAAAATAATCGGGTCAGAGGACATCACAAGTTGTAGAGCCATTGTAGAACTTTTAAGATGGAATGTAAAAAAACCTAGGTTAAAGGTGTCGCTAAAGTTGCTTAAAGTACACTATGTGGTCAGACAAGGCTAATTTTTAGACAAACTATAGCTTAGAGATGGAATAAGAATAGGCATGTGAATACTAATCAGAGTAAGACTTATTAGGAATGCTTTAATATTTTATTTTAATTTAGTTAGTAAGCTTTTTGATATTTTAGCTAAGCCATAGAGTATAAAACTGGATTCATCTTGGAGTCTGTTTTTCAGCCTTGACTTACAGTTTATGCTGAATAGCCCATCTGCAGATGAACTAAGATAAGAGCTTTATAAAAATGTAATTCAAAACCTAGGTAAAAAGTCCTTTTCCCTAACAGGCTGGCCACCTATTGGAGGCTTTTTAAGACTTTGGGACTCTGACATTTTAAGATTAATTTGCTTTCAAATATCAGTAAGATTGTTATGCATTTAGATAAATGTGTACTTAATAGATGTTTAATCAGTTGCTTGATATGCATCATCTATACTCTTCATTTTCTGTATTTCATTATTAGATTTGCATTGCTATAAATTTAGCTACATTTGTGTGTGTGTGTATTTAATTTTGTTGGCACTGGCTCTTTCAATATTTCTTACCATATCATAACATAACTTACAACAAAATGTATAAGCACAGTCGTAGCAGGAAAATCCAAATGTAGCTTTTACTCTCCCTTGTTCAGTTTAGACTATAAGCATGTCAGGACAGAGATCTTAAATTAGTTCTTAGTGGTGACAATCTTGGAAAAATTGGAGGAAAAAAATTCCAGAGTTGCTCCTGTTGTCTAAGGGCCCTGCTGTACATTCAAATTAAAGCTGGATAGAACATCTACATGTGGCCAGTCTAAATTTATCGCACAGTTCACCAGTCAATTGTGTGATATATGTAACATGGGGCAGGGGTCTAACTGTTGACCCTCAGAGACAGTCCGAGAACCCTCTAGACCACCCGCGAGTTGGTGATAGGGGCAATGCAAGGGCACCCTGTGCACCACCAACACTGCCCTTGCTACGGGACTGGCCTCACTGTGGTGGCTAAACACACAAGCGACTGGGTGCATGATGTGCTGGTGACTTGCACCAAAATGGGTCCAGTCCAGTTACTTGTGGGCAGGGCGGGAGCAGAACCAGGAACTCGTCCCCTGCTCAGCTGGGAAGGGGCTCCCTGCCTGCATCAAGCCCTTTAAACATGGTGCAGGTGGCAGGGAGCAAGCGGGCCACAGCCCCTTGGCTGCGGGCCCCCCTGTGGCCACAAGTTCCGCAGGATAGGATGGGCCAGCCCTGCTTGTGGGCTAAGATCAAGTGGCGGCATCTGGATCCCAAAACCTCTAGGCTTGGGCCTGCATGTAGGATGCCTGCCAATGGATTTGGGAGTAGCTGAAATCCCAGGGTGAGAGCCTGGTGTGCAGGATGCTCACCAGTGGGGGCACCATATACCTAGTGTTCAGAATGATTGAGTTCTGCCTGCTCAGTTGATACGGGTTTTGGAAGATTGAGTGCTGCTCAGTCAATCCGATTTGGAACTGAGCTGGTTGATTTGACCTGGAATTAAAATAAAACAAAAATCTTTAGTTCAAGGCAAGCAGTCATAAGGAAGTGCTGACAGCAAACCCAAAAGTCAGTTAAGACTCCCCACGAGTGACTTGGGTTTTACACATGCTGCATCAATTGGCTGCCTCAAAAAATGATCCTACGTTTTGAAGTTTTGCTGTCATTGATCGTACATTGCACAAGGGTTGAAATGATCCTGCAAACACGATCATTATCGTACACCTGGCCAGGCTGCTCAGGAGCCGCCAGCTCGGGGCTCCCTGCATGGGGCACCTGTCCTGGGAGGCAGGGCGGGGACATGGGGAGTCGGCCTGAGGCAGGGGTGGGATGGGAGGGGGAGATGGGTGTCCCTGGGTTGCGGGGGGGGGTGGGCAGCCAGGACATCTCCGCATCCCCGGGACACTCACCTTCCCTTCCCATCTCATCCCTGCCCGCCGCGCTCTCCTGCGCATGCGCAGCTCTCTCCTTGGGGCCCAAGCGAGTCTGAGGTCCTGCTTACGTCACAAAGCCAAAAGCTGTGCCAAGCGTTTGAAGCGGCCCTACGTTCGGCTAATGGACCGCGGAGGGCGGGGTTCGAACGCTGATCTCGGCTGCGGCTGCATTTACCGCTGCCGGGGCGGGGCGTGCATCGCTGTCCCAGCGCCAGACTGGGCGGGTGGGGTGCGGGGAAAGCCTACCCCGCAGTCCTCCCTCAGTCCGGGGCTGGGACAGCGATGACACCCCGCCCCGGCAGCGGTAAGGGGAGTCGCTCGGGGGCTCTCCGCCCTTGCCCCGCCATGAGAGCCGCCCTCACGCTGCAGTCCCTGCGGGAGGTGGTGAAGAGCCTCGTGGACACGCCTGGCTTCGATCGCGTGTATGACAAGGTGGAGTCCCCGGGGGCAGCTTGGGCACCTTTGCTAGCGTCTCTCCGCTTGGGACCCCTTGCTGGGGATCCCGCCGGGGGGTGGGGGGCGCTTTGCAGCCTTTAGTACGCTGGCTGTGCTGCCGGCTTTCCCACCAAGCCAAGCGGCCGAGGCAGAGCTGTGCCCCTAAAAGGATCCGCTTCAATAGGCTTGGTCACCAGAGGGACGGACACCCCTATGCCAGCGGAATTGGGCGGGGGAGGGATATTGAGTTGGGTGGGAGTTGCTGATCATCAGGTCCGATCCTGCCTCCCTTTGGACATGGGAACGTGCAGAGGATAGGAAAGAGTAGCAAAGAGAGACCCTGCAGCATGTGCTTAGGGGGTCCCTGTCCCTTAACTGATGTGCACCAGAGACTACAGCATGGCAGCTCCACCTGCATCTGCTGCCAAGTGGAAGTGGTGCCACATTAAGCTGCACTGGATACACCTCTGTGAGGGTAAAGACTTGAAGTGGGGTGGGTGGTTTTTCTAGGCCAGTGGCTCTCAGCCATTTCAGAGTCCAGGTGCCCCTCCACAGCTTCTTTGGATTTGGCGGCACCCCACATTGACAACCACCTTGTGCTACCTCCCTTTACCTCATTGGTTCTTGCCCAGGTGCTGCAGCATCCTCCTACCTGGATTAGACTTATCTGCTAAATGTGAAGCAGGCAGAAGCAGAGGCATAACTAATGAGTTTTGCACCCAGGGCCAAAGTCCCCCGTGTCACTGGGGGGCATGTGATGAGTGGAGAAGGAGGGTGGTCTTCCCTGCCCTGCACGCATCTCCTCCAGCCAGGTGGTGCACAGGCTGTGATAACCCAGCCTGATTCCTCCCACTGGCGGGAAGGGCTGTGGCTGAAGCACCTACCTGCTCTTGCTACAGGTAAACTCAGCATAGGAGTAAACAACTTTACCCTTCTGTCTATCCTGTTTCTTTATACTGATATAGTGGGTCATCCATGCCAAAACAGGGAGTTTACAGAGGTCTGATTGCTGGTGAGTTTACTCATGTAGGGGCCCTGAGCATGTCAAACTAATCCTTCTCTTATTCTTTTTCAAAATATGAATTTAGTTCTATTACATAAGCATTCATTGAGTTTATAACAAAGGTTTTGTTTCTTTGTTTCCATTTTGTGGACCACCAAGTCAGCCTATGCAATTACAGCAGACCGTAAAGTTTAAAATAAAAGTCTAGCATCACTCCGCATTAGTTTTATTCCAGGTATAAAGGTCACTTAACTGAAATATGCTGTGGAATAATTATTTTAGCCCCACTGTAATGGGTCTGTGCTGACAAATGTCAACACTTATTTTTATGTGCAGCATAAATTTCTCCTGCAAAATGTTAGTTGCAATTTTATAGAAATATCTGATAAAACAATTTAAAACCGCTGTTATTCTCTCTTTTGTAAATGCCCATTGCAACTTTTGGACTAGCTTTCAATTTGATCTTTTCTCCCAGAGGAGCTACTGGATTTGTCATCATGCTGAGCTCTTGAAGTAACACAAGGGGTGACTGGTGCCTCCTGAGTCTGGGGGGGCATAATTTGTGGGTGGGCCCCAGGGTGAGCCAAAAGCCCCATATCCACTCCTATACTTCTGTGCCATGGCTTAGTGCCCCCCACCCCAACATGCTGCTGGCCTACACAGCAAAAAAAACTGCCCCACTTTCAGGGACCAATCTCGGAAAGGGGGGGCACGCAATGTGGCCCGTGTCCCATCCCATCCCTCCCCTACCAGTTGCCTGAGAGTAACAGGATTGTGTTTGTTCGGTTTCAGATTAAACTTCTTTCTGCAATTCCTGGGAAGGTTGTATGTGAAATGAAAGTTGAGGAGCAGCACACAAACAGGGCTGGCACACTGCACGGAGGCTTGGCCGCCACCCTGGTAGATGTTGTGTCAACAGTAGCATTGATGAACACAGAAAGAGGAGAACCAGGAGTCAGTGTGGACATGAACATAACGTATGTACTGAACATTTGTGCTGCAAGGGGTTAAGTCTTCACTGCTGTCACCTTTCACCAATAGGACCTAGACCCCTTTGTTGTAGGAGGATCTAGGGTGGCTCTGAAAGACTTAGTTCTACTGAATTCAACCCAGATCTGGTTTAGGGAAAACTTCAGGTAACTGAGATACTAGGTTGAGGTGGTCTTTTAATTACAAGTTTACTTTATGGCTCAGCTTTAGTGACAACGTCCTGATTCTGGAGTCTTTTCATGCATTAAATTTCAAACCTTAAAAACAAGTTCTTCCTGAGGGTAGGAAGTAATATGTAGGTACAAGGGGTAAATCTGGGCTCAATTTGTTCCTTCTCTTGCATGGATGCTTTGACAAACAGGTCTCTGATCCAGGAGCCATAGGATTTGAGTTTAACCTATTAAGTAGGCCACCTTGTATAAAGCCTTTAAGTAATGACAAACATCTACCTTGCTGTACAGTCTTTGTTCCTCTTAGTCTCCCACCCTCTCCAACTTTATTGTTTACGGGGGCTGGATGTTTTTAAGTATGTATAGGAGCACCTATTTTTTTTCCTTAGAGGAGCTGCCTGTTGTGCAAGTGAAGGCAAATCAAGAAAGTTATGAGAAAAGCCTAAATTCAAGTGAGACTTCTCTTGGAGTGGGAGAAAATTATGAAGTTATTAAAATCTGATGAGTAGCTTCTGTCTTATTGAGGTTCACAGCTCCCAAGAGACAGAGCTCCAATTGCATTTTGCAACTAGGCTAATTTATAGAAGCCTTAGGAGAGATACTAGGGCAAAATGGGACTAGGCACTGACCTGTCAGTGTATAATTTAATACCCGTTGTTTTGTTTCCAAGAAGACTAGAAAGCTGTCCCCTCCCTGTGTTTCATCGGGGAGATGTGGTATCAATGGTAAACTTCTGTTCAAAATGGGTAAAGCAGGAACTCTGCCAACTGATGCCGTCTCTGGAGAGGTGGGGATTTGGGCCTGGACATTGTTTAAGAGGGCATGGGGGGTGGGGATGGTGGCTCTAGCATGTTTATTTTAAATGGATGAATGTTCTGTGGTTTGCAACATGTGTATAAACCCTTACCTGTTCATTCTCTTTCCTTCAAGATACATATCAGCTCCTAAGATGGGAGAAGAGATACTGATTACTAGTCAGGTTATGAAGCAAGGAAGAAGAATTGCTTTCACCACCACAGATTTAACGAAAAAAGCAACAGGAAAGATAGTAGCACAAGGCAGACACACAAAGTACCTGGGACCTTAGTATAAGGAAATGATCTGTAAAGAGAGAAAGCTTTGCCTTAAGAAATCCAGTCTTCTGTTTTAAGGTATAACTGAAGGCTAGTAGATGGCCTATATTAAATGGGTTTAGTCTCAGATCCAGTACTAACTGACACTAATTTTCAACTAATTGTAGTCCTTGACTACTCTGACTGAAAGCTGGAGTTTGATCTTGCCATTTTTGTGTCTGAAGAGAATAAAGCGAATCTTTCAAACCAGAATTCAGCCCTGCTGGCAGGGCAGCATAGGGAAGCTAATTTGTTGGTGTCCATGTCTCCAAAGCTGTCAGTTAATCACCTTTCACATGTCAAATTCAGTATTAGACTGCTTTTTGTTTTGTACAACAGAATGGTATTTAAAGTAACATCATAAAGGAACAGATCAGGCAGAGGTGATAATTCTGATTTAAATTCTGAATCAGAAGGAAGAATATGTTGCAAAACGAAAAAACAAACAAACATGCTTTACTTCTATTTTTACCATGACATTCAATGGTTATTTTAAAAAAAGTCTAAGCCAGGTACTATAAATGGGATTTTCACATTAATTACTGGAAATCAGTTTAGCTTAATGAACACATGTATTGCATTCAGATGTTTTATTTCCTGTTACTTATTAAAAGAAACCCTGCCATCCTAGACTGCATATACCTTTGCCCCTTAGCAGTGTACATGATCTTATTTGAGTACTGAAATAAATCAACGTTCAACCTTTATCTTTGTTGGGCCACTTAAAGTCTGCTGCCTGTGGAATTGAACAATTTTAGCTTTCTAAATATTTGTTGGAATTTATTCCTTGAACAGCTTATTTGAAATGTTTTACATCAATCAAACTGTTTAGTTTATATGAAGAATTCAGAGTTGTCAACTATTGCAGCAAGCAGGTTAGAGGAAAAGCAATAATTGTGTCAATTAAACAAGACTTCTATTGAGTTCAGTCTCTCCTACTTCCTGACATCACTTCTATTCTAAATACTCCCATCTCTTTTCCACAGGCAAAAGTAACAAAGTGCAAAGGATAGAGGTTTGCAGGGGACTGAGGAAATGGAAAAACAAATACAGAAATAATTAAGGTTTGAAGAGAAATAGGCAGAAACTACAACTTAAACATGCAATAGGGACTTTGAGATTAAAAGGCAGAAATTGTTATAAGGACTTAATTAAAATACTTTATATATCATTTCCAACTGTTGCTCTTGATGAGACTCTACCACTACGTGCATATGGAATTTTCCCACTGAAACTTAAATCCGTGCTAAAAGTTGCTTTCTTGAATCAAGGTCAGAGGCTTCGGGGCAATACTGTAATAACTGGTCACATTCTAGCACTTAGAATTTGTCATGTCTAGGTAATTGCAATAAAAAATGCCCAGGCATATTAAGAATTGAAAATCTGATTATGTATACAATGGTATTTGACTGGCCCTGTTGAAATGTGACACTGTTGCAGGTGTTCTACTAGCAGAGGGCATGGGGAAGTTTCAAGAGGTGCCAGTGATTTCTACTCTTCCTCCTAACAGCCTGTTCATTGTAGTAGTACAAGTGCTGCCTTATGCATAAGAAAACGGGACATTGTTATTAACCAGGCCACTTATTTTGGATCAGTCCATTAAAGATTCATAAAAAGTATCAAAGTGTTTTTAATTTCTCAGTTGTCTTAGATTTAATGCAACTTGATAAATGAAAGTGATGGATGGACTGAGAAAGGCTGATTAAAAGTGTAGGGTAGGGGCCAGCAACCCCCGGCACATGTGCCGAGACCATTTTGCTTGGCCCCCCCCCGCCGACCTGGGCTATAGGCAGTTGCTGCCAGCCACGAAGCCTGGGCTGCTCCCAGCAGGCTGCTGGGTGGCTGCAAGCCCTGCCATAGTTGGCAGCAGCTACCCGAAGCCTGGGCTGGCTGCAGCCAGGAGGCTGCAAATATCTGCTCCAGGCTCCGGCATTAGATCCATACCAGCAGGTGCGTACATGCCTGCCTCAGAGCGGACTTTGTCCAGTGGTCCAGGAGCCCAGCTCTGTGTGCTTATCTGCCTCTGTCTGGTCCTATGTGTGCACGTGTCTGGTTCTGGATGTGCGCGCATGTGTCCGTTCTGTGTTCTGGTTCTGTTTGTGCACATGGTTCTCTGCGTGCGTGTCTGGTTCTCTCTCTGCTCTCCTTTTTCTCTCTCTCTCATTGTCTCTTTTCTCTCTCATTGCAACATGCTCAACAAAAAAGGAATATGCAACAACAAAGGCAACATTTATGATTATTAAATATACTAATATGTAGTGCATCCTGCCATGTACACACACACACACCCTCCCCCCTCATTTTGTTTTTCTGGATGCCAGCACTCCGACACTTTCCAAGGTAGACATTATGGTTTTTCGGCACTCCGGCCAAAATCGCCTACCCCTAGCGTAGGGTGTTGTTCTGAATGTTAATTAATTTGAACACTTCACCTCTAGGTCTGTATGTAGGACAGGGGCTTGTAGAGCAAAATGACCACATGCTGTGTGCTATGTTACTTGAAGTTAACAAGTGAAATGTTTTTAAGGCTCTTACAAAATTACTTTCACCATTTGTATGTATTGCTAACCTATTAATTCAAAGATCCAGTTTAATGAATTTAGCTTCTGTGGCATTTAACTCCAGCACTAACTAGAAAGAGGAAGATTAATTTATTTGGGGAAAACTAGTCTGATCAGGAGTCTATGAAATGGTACAGGCATGAATGGTGCATGCCCCCAGCAGCTGGGGGGGGCACAGCTACACTGGCAGTGGCAAATGGGGGAGCTCCTACAGATGCCACTGGCGCTCCCACTGACGCCAGCGACCAGGGGCTGGAGACCACTCTTAGGTACTGCCAACAGCATTGGCGGCGGCCAGGGGCAATCGTGGACTGCTTGCAGACGCCGCCAGCAGTGGGGTGGTGAGCAGCAAACACCCGCAAGCACTGCCGACACTGGGGACGCCTTTTTGCAGGAGGTGCACCACCACACTTAGGGGGTGCACATGCACCCCATATGTGTCACCCCTGGGTACAGGTATTTTTTTAAATAGATTGAATTAAAAATCTACACAAAACAATGCAGTTTCAAGAGAATTTAAACTATCCTAGCTACCAGATTGTCTTTTGTAACAGTCCAGTACAGATTGTAAAAGGTGCTTTCAATGATGAGTATTGTTTCTAAGACGACAGACAAGTTACAGTACATTACAAAGGTAACGGTTTCTCAGTAACTATTTTTGGTGAGTAAAAGCTCAGCAGAGGCAATTAACCCTAAATGAAACAAATGCTGACTTATTGCAATTCAGTTTTCACCTACCCTGGGACAGGAGCAGACACAGAGCAGGTACTGCAGAACAGCTGGTATACAGCAAGACTGCTCCCCCTCCACCCCTTGTTCATAATCCTTAGGACAAAATAGCTTTTCTAGAAAAGCTGTCATCCTGTACAGGCGTTGGGTCTGTATCTGCAGTTAGTCAGTGATGTAGTGTCCTGAGACTGGCCCCTGTATAAATCAGCACCCATTTTCAAAACACTTGTTCTTAGTCTAGACAGAAGGAAAAACGATGAGGAAACTCATCCAATTGCTAGGAAGAGTGAGTGACATTAGGTAGACAAAAAAAGCTATTAAAGAGACTTGCTTTCAGGACAAATGCTCTGGCAGTAGTGGGAAGTGCATGTGATATGGTATGAAGGATTATCTACTCTAGTGTGCTCCTTCCCAGGTTTTGGTTATACTTTGTTTACATCACAGCTTCTAGCTATGCACTAATTAGCTTGTATTGGAGCATTCATTCACTTATCTGAATGCTGGCTTTATTAGTCTGAAACTTAAATCCGTGCTAAAAGTTGCTTTCTTGAATCAAGGTCAGAGGCTTCGGGGCAATACTGTAATAACTGGTCACATTCTAGCACTTAGAATTTGTCATGTCTAGGTAATTGCAATAAAAAATGCCCAGGCATATTAAGAATTGAAAATCTGATTATGTATACAATGGTATTTGACTGGCCCTGTTGAAATGTGACACTGTTGCAGGTGTTCTACTAGCAGAGGGCATGGGGAAGTTTCAAGAGGTGCCAGTGATTTCTACTCTTCCTCCTAACAGCCTGTTCATTGTAGTAGTACAAGTGCTGCCTTATGCATAAGAAAACGGGACATTGTTATTAACCAGGCCACTTATTTTGGATCAGTCCATTAAAGATTCATAAAAAGTATCAAAGTGTTTTTAATTTCTCAGTTGTCTTAGATTTAATGCAACTTGATAAATGAAAGTGATGGATGGACTGAGAAAGGCTGATTAAAAGTGTAGGGTAGGGGCCAGCAACCCCCGGCACATGTGCCGAGACCATTTTGCTTGGCACACCACCGCCGACCTGGGCTATAGGCAGTTGCTGCCAGCCACGAAGCCTCG